TCACGATCTCGAAATCCCGAGATGAAGGCATTCTGGAAGTATATATGAGTTACTGACTCAACATAACAACTATAGTGGTAGCAGGATGCCCTACAGACATCGTTATGCATAAAGTGCAACTGTAAATATAACATTAATGTATATATCTTTTTTCAGAAGAGGTCAGTCCACCACAGCTCGGTTATGAACACAGTAACAATGAAAGCTAGATTTATAGCGACTGGGTTATACCAAACTTACGGGTACGACGAGACATCAATTGCTTCCAGTCACTTGGTCGAAATGCGTATAACGAACTACTAAGTTACAACGAACTAACATGGTACCTTTGTGTTCGCTATAACCGTAGATTACTGTATTCCGCTGTACATGGATGTACGTTAACACTGCAGTTTGGGGGTTTGTACAATACGTGTACCTGTAACGTGTACCTGTTGTTAACAAGTTAATCTCATTCAAGCACTCCGAATTCCAGACTTGATGTAAACACATGCATGCAGTAGGTTGGAGGGAATGTGAAATTGGGTTTAACATCTCGCTTAAAGATTACTGGCAATACTTGTATGTGTGCGTGTGCATGTGCGTGCGTGCGTGTGTGTGTGTGTTGTCGTGCGGTGAGATTCAGAAACTATAACGCCAAAGACACCTTTATACCGAGCATTATTCCAACAGCTCCAGTCTTGTATCTAAATTTCACATTTTTGAGGTTCATGTTCTTTCATGAATATTGCAAACAGCCTCATATGTCTCTTGTTGAAAGGACCGCCTCCGTGGTGTAGTGGTTAGAGCGTCCGCCCGGAGAGCGGAAGGTCGCGGAGTTCGATCCTCGGCTGCGTCATACCAAAAAGACGTTAAAATATAAGTAACTTGTTGGTCCCCGCCTGGCGCTCGGCATTAATGGGTACAACAAGGACTGGTCGGCTCGGAGTCAGTATATAATGTGTCTGAGTGGGTATTCATGCTTCACTGCGGCATGGTATCTCAGTGGGTTAGCACTATAAAACCAGCCTTCAGTCTGGGCTAGTACAAGCAGCCGCACATCCACATACACAAGCATGCACGTCGTCATATGAGCGAAATATTCTCAAGCCTCTCATTCTCAAATCCAATTTCACCTCACCTCATCTTGTTGAAAGTTTGTTTGATCAAGGCTACAGCATCAGAGGCCTCCCAAAGCTTTCCACAAGTTTAATAGTAGACATGTTGAGGACATTTCAAAATGCAAATGAGGAAAGATAATATTCCTGTGCAATTACCGATTTTAAAGCATATGTTCCCGTGGTATTTTAGGTGAACAACTGACTTGTCGCATGTGTTTGTGACGAGTGCCATCAGTGAAGCAAGATACTCTTAGAATCAACTGATAAACAAAACAGTGTATAAATAGAGTTGCATTATTCACAACATCACTTAGAGTGGATTACGTTACGTCTGATCAGCAACAATTTTAATTAACATTAGCATTATGTCAAAGGTGTTGAAAATTTAAGCCGTCAATTGTTTCCCAATGTTTAGTGATATTTGTAACACAAGTTTATGATGCAAAGCAGATTATTAAAGCTTTTCCTTTTGTGTGACCATTTTGCATGAATGAAAATAGTAAAAGCACAAAACACTGAATAATGCAAACGTTTTAATTCATCTGTGTAAAAAATGACTCCATACATAACATTTGTAAAGAAGCATATTAAAGAATCTTATATTGATATCTGTTAAACTTAGTATCTCAAACATTCAAGAATACATAACTTGTTGCACTTTGTTGGGACTTCTCCGCTGTCGATTATATTTAAATAATCTTGAGAATCTGCGTTTAAGAGAGACGAGTGCAGCTTGGGCTGTAAGGCGTCTTGGTTTGGAAGGTACAGAACAGGCTTGGATCACGATACTTGTAAAAATGTCAGAAATGTTTGAGTCGTCTTTCGCCGAGATTTCCATGTAATCGTCTTGCCAAACTGACGTCACCATGCTGTGGGCTTTTTTCTTCGACATAAAGCGAGATGTGGTCGTTACGTCTGCCTTGTTGCCGACCACCAAAACAGGAACACACGTTGGCTTCTGTTGAGCAATCAAGTTTCTAAGCAAAGTCACTGTCCTCAAAGGATACCGCATTTTCGACTGGAATAGACCAGTACAAAATGCATCAGCCTTTAAAGATGGCCAGCTCTCGTAAATAAGAGAAACAATGCTCCTCCAGGTGTGTCGAAAATGTCAAGGACGACGTGTCGGCCATCTACGTCCATATCTTTGGTATAACGTTCTGCACAGTTGGCCAGCAGTATTTCGGAGAGGTACCATTGATGAATTTGTTGATGATGTCACTCTTACCTACACAAGAAGCTCCCATCACAGCGAGTTTGAAAGAGCCGTCTGTCCCCGGATTTGACGACGAGAAAGTGGAAGACCCGCTTAAATATATAGGACGTGCAAATGGCGGCATCTTGAGAGGTAGCACAACCTAGCTTATGTGCTGAAAGTTAAATGTGCTGTCTGGACAGCAATTGAACAACTTTGAGATCAACGGCTGTGTGAGTTCTGGCCATGCATTGACATCTTTCCTAACGTAACGAGGTTATCAAAGGTATAAGCTGTACCTTGTCCCCGACATCTGAGTCAACAGTTATGTTTGCTGTGCACTTCTATTGACAGAAGAAATATGTAGAGTAACTATTTAGAGATGCACGTTTTGCCTATAAAGGTGTCACTTCAGCGCATGTCACCCAGCATAACACGTGTTAGCCGTGGACGTATGTATATATGTTCTGCCTTCTGTCAAATATCAGTGTTCAACAAAATGTACAAATGTGTAAGCGGTGTAGAGAATGTGTTTCTGGGAATTGGAAAATGACTTTAAGCGGTAATATTCATTATGCATGCACGTTTAACGGGAAGGAAATGTTAAACATTAACACACACACACACACACACACACACACACACACACACACACACACACACACACACACACACACAAAGCACACAAAGCACGCACGCACGCGCTCGCGTACACACACACACACACACACACACTCTCTCTCTCTCTCTCTCTCTCTCTCTCTCTCACACACACACACACACGCGCCGCACCATTAATAGCGCATGTTTAATAAACATCTATAATAAATCTTTCATGACCTGATTTGAAGATCACTGTAACAAGAAAGGCAGTGTGATTTATGTATGTGTACAAACCTGGTGTGGGGTTGATCACTGCATGAAGACATCTAAGGATCACCTCTATTATCAGCATTGTAACTCAACATGCAATGCATGCACTGGAATATATTCACCATAAATACCGGTAGCACTAAGGTAATTGTCCGTTAGTAACAGATCGTGTTGACAAGCTATCAATGCTATTTTTTATGTTTAAATATTCAAACAAGACATTTAACTGTAACTTGTCACAGTTTCTTGTCTGATGCTGTGGTTGCAAAAGATTCACACGCCTTTCATGACGTAATGACGTCTAGGTGTACAGCAGTTTGACACGGAAAGAAATGTGAAGCTTTCTTTTTGACCCAGAACGCAGCGAGACGATATCAAGATATCTGGCCGGTCTCGACAAGCTCACGACTGATAACATCTTAACCCTCTTGGTCCACACCGTCACAGTCAAAAGTAGTTTCAGTTACTTGTTACTTGATCGTGACAAGGGTGCTTTTGCCTGTAATCGGGTATGTAGTTTAGTTGCAAGGGTTTCACGATTGCCACCCACCATCATCGTACATGCTGTGAATCATCGTATACAGTTGATTTCCGATCTGACATACAAATCACTTGTCTTATCAGTATGTAAACATGGCCAACCCAACCCGAGAAGTAGTTTTTTTAATAATATTGTTATTTATGGTTTCTAAATGGAGTTCCTAAGGAGTGGCATTTTCACCTGCATTGGTGTGTGGATAATTTGAAACGTAGGTTTGAAAGACCGTCTTGATTTTCGTAAGTAAAAAATCGCATTTTTAAAATGACGAGTGACACTTTTGTAATGCATAGTTACAGTACGTTTATTATTGTGACACAAATGCCACATTTCACTAATAAGATGAAACTGTTAATGTAAACGTCATGTAATTTTTATTTAAGAATATGTAATGAAGATTTGGAGTTGTGACGCTTAATTGATCATACTCTTGGTCTACTCAGTGAAGATATATTATTACGTTTGTATTGGAAAAGTTTCATTGTATAGTGATGGAATGCTAACAATATGAAGACGGGAACCTGTTTTCACCTCCAGGTGAACGTGATGTGTACACGATTTTTATAGTGGTACACAATATTTTGTGCATGAATGAGTGAGTGAGTGAGTGAGTTGAGTTTTACACCGCACTCAGCAATATTCCAGCTATGTGGCGGCGGTCTGTAAATAATCGAGTCTGGACCAGACAATCCAGTGATCAACAGCATGAGCATCGATCTGCGCAATTGGGAACCGATGACATGTGTCAACCAAGTCAGCGAGCCTGACCACCCGATCCCGTTAGTCGGCTCTTACGACAAGCATGGGTTACTGAAGATCAATGTTTTAACCCGGACCTTCGCGGGTCTTGTGCACGAGTGAACGTTATTGTACGAAACATTCAACATGAACATAATGTATCCAGTCATGTTTGAGCAACATATAATTTTAAATTCATATACTTTATAAGATACGTGAATGAAAGTGTTCACTGTATTATTTGCATAATTAAACGTTGTTTATACCACAGAGGGACACATCAGTTTAGCTACATGCGGCATGTGAGTTGTATACATTGTTCCAGTCACACCTGTGGTTGATAGCATGAACACGGCAATGCGATGGCATCCGTTTAATATCAAGTCAAGAAGTATTAAGTATATTTTGAACTGCACTGAAAGCGTTTATTGCATATCACGAAAGAAATTACAGCAATATAAATCATTGTAATAGTCCCAGTACGTTAATGAATAGTACCTCAATAAAAAAATACACCAAAAGGCAAAAGAAACGTCTTAATATTGGAAATTACATATAAGTATCAAGTATTTGAACCTATTTTTTTAAATATGCACCGGAAGTCAAGTTTGAGGAAACCATGAATCGTGGTCGGATCGCCCAATAAATTATTGTTTGAGATTGAGGTCAGAAATGTGTTTGTTTGTGGAAAGGGAGAGTTCGCACAAACACAACATTGAATTGAGATGCACGTGCATCATGCATGCATTCAGGTATAAAAAGCCGCCTTGAATGGCAATCGTTCACTTGTTTTCTGAACACAACAGCTATGGCTAGGTAACAATATACTAATGCATTTTTGAGACCTTCACTTATTTTAGGATTCAATAACAAACAAAATTAACTAAATCTTCACTTATTTTAGGTCGCAAAACAAACGCAATTAACTAAATCTCTGTATATTATAATTTTTAAGCGCACACATAAACATATGTTCATAGTCCAGGCCGGTCCGTTTCGTTATAAGTTCGTCCAACTTTTAGTGGATATTCTGGAGGAGGAATGGGGTCGAGAGGACCTATTTGTCGGAAATATATTTTCCACCAAAGTAATTGAAATAGACAATTGATCAGATTGTAACAAACATGCTTAATGTTCTGGAAAAAGGGTATGGGTTTAAAACATTGTTCGGTTTGTGGACTTCTTGAAGTTAATATTCCTGTTGCCTACAAAAATCCCCAAGCCTCCTGGAATATCACAAGGTCACACCTTAGATCTCAGAGTCCATATTTGCACCGCGACAAAGGTTGTCGTACGTCACTGACTTTCCCTTGACGTTGCCCTTGACATTGCCGATGTTTAGCGGCTGATACTGAGGGAGGTCCTGGTAGATGTTGACCTCAGGTCTGTCGTAGATGTGAGGTATGGAATACACGTTGTCAGGGGCTGAGACGTCCTTGCCGTCGTTACAGTGGTTGTCGTAGGTGGCCGATCTGCCTTCGACGTTACCGTTGGGGAACGTGGGATCAAGCGGCTGATAGACAGTCATGTACTCATTTTGCTGGAACACGGGGCGATAATTGGTGTCGGGTGTGTCAGGGTCTTCTTTTCCTTCCTTGTCATGCCCTGGGGACTTCACTTGACCGTAAAAAGCATTGGAGAAGGATGGCTTTGTTACCGAAAATACAGAACTACCGGCTTCTCTCTGACGTGTGATCTGTGAGTTCTGGTAAGGAGACATTTTCTTTCTACGATAGATTCTCCACCCAATTAGAGCACCTGCTACGGCCAAAACCAACAACACTACACCAAAGACCGAACCTACAATAGTCCCAGTTTGGCTTGAAGTGGATGCTGTCTGTGACGCTGAAACAAAATACATCACAAAAACTACATTTATTATGAGATCAACAGTAATTTCAACTCCTTTTTTCATGAATATTCTATCATTTTATTGGTTAAAACCTAGAATTTCTTTACAATTCTTTCACAAACGTATTAGCAGAATGATAGTATACATACTTGATGGTCATTGTTATCAAAACACCTCCTTCGTACACGCATGCAGGCACCTTACAATAGTTAGTTCCGTATCCTGTATTATGAATTACAAAATAATCATACTTTCACACAGATTACTGTAAATTTTCAATAGAGCAACTTGTATGTTTATAATACTAAACTTACCCGGGTCTGTGACCATGTCGTCAGCTATGGTTTTGTAATGGACAGGCCAGGACAACCATGGGTATCTGTATCCACCAGTGTATACCAGAAACATATGTTGACCTGTGCTGACCAGTGTCTGATTGGACAGACCACACCACTTGGCCAGGAGGGGAGAGCTAGAAGATGGACCTATCAAGAACGAAACGAAAATACCTGGCTAAAATACAACTTACTCCTTATTCTCCTTATCCATGGAATAATCATTCATTTCGAACAATTCTGTGAAATATAAGATATCAACATGATATCATTAACACATGCTATAATATTACTTAAGGGTGTAATACGCTTAAACCCGCGAACATCCGGGTTAGAATTGGTCTTCAGCAACCCATGCTTGTCGCAAGAGGAGACAAACGGGATTAGGCGGTCAGACCCGCTCACTTGGTTGACACATGTCATCGTATCCCAACTGCGCAGATCGATGCTCATGATATCAATGGTTGGATTGTCTTGTCGAGGCTCGATTATTTACAGACCGCCGTCGTGTAGCTGGGATATTGCTGATTGCGGAGTTAAACAATAAACAAACAATCGGACAAATCATAAACTATATGTTGAACAAACGTACCATCAAACACTTCCAGGTACCTGTCATAGCACATATCATGGCTTCTTATGGCTGGCCTTCGTGATTCCAGTTTCAGTTCTATTGGATTTTCAGAGTCTACAGGTTCTGAGGTTGTCAGCCTCCATCTGCATGTTACACTGAAAATAAGGAAAACATAGATACATTGCCAATACTCAATTATTCAACAATGAATTTGATGGAAATATATAAATCAATATTTTTGTGTGCTGTTTATAACATCTTAGATGTCTAGACATCTGTTGGTCTGTTTCATCCGTCTTCTCTTTACCAGGCTGTTATAAAGTCAAATCTAAGGAATCCTTTTCGCATTGAAATCTCTGCTGAAAGCAGAGTCGGTTGTACCATTCCACGTGTATCTAATAGTGATAATGCCAGGTTCTCCAGGAAAATTGTCATGGCATGTTTCTTCACGACGTGACTGTAATATGTAAGTAGGCGATATGAATATTTACCTGGATATTGCAGGTATAGTCAACACCTGACTCTGAATGCCGGACGTGAGTATGCGGGTGGCCTCACTGCAGACAGGGTGCATTGTGTGATTCGCTGAAATGGATAAAAAGACATAGCCAGCTCATTAGAGTGAGTGAGTGAGCGAGTGAGTGAGTGAGTTTAGTTTTACGCCTATTTTAGCAATATTCCAGCAATATCACTGCGGGTGACACAGCAGAAATGTGCTCCACGCAGTATTGTACCTATGTGGGGATTCGAACCAGGGCCTTCGGGGTGACGAGCGAACGCTTTAACCACTAGGTTAGCCCGCCGCCCCCAGCTCGTTAAAAAGCTTTGTACGAAGTATCCAAAATAAACTTATAATGTGATGCATATACAATCAGACACGCGATTTTATACCATTGTAACTCAAACAGTCACAGTGGTACATTAGTTTTGGTGTTGAAGGACCCGCGCTGTCTATACCTGGAATCCACGGCCACCTTGTTGTTGTTTCATGAGACCATGTGTCTGGATTTCTGTACGTCAGAGAGAAGATCGTGTTGCTTCCACTGGGGAGGTTGGTAGCGTTGAAGCGTAGAGCCAGGCACGATGCTGTACGGAACGTGTTGTTCCTACCATAGCACGAAGATCCTAAGTATCTATAGTAGTTGCTGTTGTGAGCTTCACCTTTAGTTTGAAATGGAAAGTTTATGCAAAATATCAAAGCAAACCCTAAAATATACCAATGATATCAAATACTTTATTGTGAAACTTCATGTTAGGGTCTGATTAAACGAATAATGATAATTAGTTTAGTTATCAGAAGAAAAACAGTAAAAAGGCAAAAAAAGAGAGAAGAATTTGAGTAATTAGACGACAAAACAGTAATTGGACAAATAGAAGTAATTGTCAAATAGATGAAGCAGTATATTGACACACATGTATACGAACCGTGTATATTTAGCACATGTCAAAGGAAACCGCCTGCTTTTAGCTAACAAGACATGAGCAGATTATTGTATGGAGTGATAACTTACAATCGTATACTCTGATGACTCCACGCGAACAACTCAAGTTCGGATTTTTCTCAATTTCAACATAAACACCCCTGTAGCTGCCTGAGATCCTCCATTCCCGTGTCAATCTGGTAATTAAAAGTGTGTCCACATAGTTGTTTCTGATGGTGAGTATATACATAACGGCAACACAAAAACTCAGTCAGGATGGTTGGTTTGTTGCTTAACATCTCACACAGCAGTATTCAAGCTATATCGCGGCGGACCGTAAATATCGAGTCTGGACCAGACAATCCTGTGATCAACATCATGGGTATCGATCTACACAGTTGGGATACGATGACATGTGTCAAACAAGTCATCGAGTCTGATTACCGATCCGTTTGTCGCCTTTTGCGATAAGCATGGGCTGAAGACCAGTTCTAACCCGGATCTTCATGAGTTGATAACTGAATTAATGACACTATAGGTTTAAGATGAAGACCCGCTGAGTATAATCATGACAGACTAAGGGATATTACTGATTTGAATACGTTTGTGTTTTTGAAGTAAAGAGTATAGATTGTGCACACTTTGTGAATTAAATGTGTTAAAAAAGTAAACTCTTATAAATGCCTTAACTCAACATTACATATTCATAAAACTGTACAAAAATAATACGAAATCACTTATATAGTTCAGCTCCAAAACGTGACATAAGCATCTCCCTTTCTACTGCTTCGATAGCTAATCAAATGGCAAGGAACCACTTGTTACATATGTACTACATAACAGCATGGAGGCCAGGGATATAATTTCTGAAAAACTTAAGAATTCAATATTAATCATGCGCATTATACCTAGTAGTGAAACGTTAGACTGTTTTGAAAACAAATAGTTGTTTCCCTTCATCGAAATTTCCTGAAGCTAAATGAAACACAAGGGTTACTTTGTCAAGTCATGACATACCTCTCATAATGTGGATACCCGGTGAAGAACTCATCCTTGGTTGCTGTTAAGGTCCTCGGAAAGGTCGTGGCATAAAGAGCAGTGCGGCACAACCACCATGCTGCGTTTGTGAAGCAAACATTCGTTGATTTTATAAAATACAAAAGGAAAATCATCAAAAGAGTTTTTTTTATGGATGTCCACTTCTTTATTATGAGGAATACAACGTTTCGGGGTATATCCTTACTCATTCACCTGATAAAGGAGTAAGGATTTACTCATACGCATAATAAAGAAATTAAAGTCCATAAAAACTCTCTGCCTTTTGTGCACCACTTCTAATACCATTCAAAGACCAAAAAATATAATCATCATTTTTCTAATTGCCATGATTGAAGAATAATTATCTTCAAGGTTTATAAAAAGATTAGATTCTTCTTTCTTGTTTTGCTTGAAAGCTGTATAAAGATTTTAACTTATACACTGGACAAATGAGTCAAGGCAGTGTTTTTCAAATTTGATCAAGTTTTGCATATTGTACTAACATGCCACACGCCTGTTTAGATTTAAGGCAGTTTACCTTCTATAAAAGATGCTTGGTATAATACTTAAGATATGTCTTAGAGTTTATACATACCGTCCTTAGAAGAAGGTGAATGATTTGTCTGGTTGTAGATCTGTGAAATAAAATCACAATGTGGGATATCTGCCGGTGGCCTTAAAACTGCGTGGTATTTGAGAGAGAAAGAACCATCGTTAAGACTGCTGGCGTTGTACCAGATCTTCAAATTGTTCCCCAGTGACCGGAATGAGGGTGTAGAGTTCTCGCACCATGATGTTCGCAGGTGAGGTCCTTATGGGAAAACACAGCTTGACGTTAATCATGTGACTGTATTATCCATAAAGGTATGAAGCCCAAGGCTAATACCTTTCAGGTATTTGCGCATCTTCAGTTCAACGATTTTATCGAGTCATCAGTTAAAGCCATATGTAATCACATTTTTGCATTGAGGAGAACAATGTCGAATAACGTCATCCGTTGTTCGTGACGTTAGAAAATGATTACCTTTAAAGACGTTGACTTTAGTTGAATGTCGCTGTATGTTTGGAGCATGATACGATATATGTATTTTATTTCTTATACTACAATGATGAATATACATGTAGAAAAATAGATACTTTCGAAACACGAAGTAACGGATTATCTGAAGCTCTTGGTACTGTATCAAACACATCTGTTCTCAAGTGTATGTTCAAAACAGTTTCATATTGATGATGTTTACAATTAGGTCTTGACTTTGTCCAATTCTTTGGCATTGAGTAAAGACTTCTTTATATTGCCTGGAAATAAGGAAAGTCTGCGCCACTGACGTCAGTTTTGACGAGAACAAACTAAAGAATTCAGAGTTCTACAATTTACCTGGATACGGAGGAACAGTCAGTTTAGCCGACCGCCATAATGTTGTCATATTGCGCAATTGCCAATCTGTCAGTATGTTTAGTTTAGGCAGACAGAATCTCTGTCAGTTTGTCAAAAAATACCCAACATATTATAATCACAAACCTTCGAATACTTGGACAGCGTGACTATAGCAGGGCGAAGGCAGCGACGATCGACGAACGGATACCTGCACCACGTACGCGTTACTTGTCACGAGTGTTAGGCTACACAATCTATGACAGAAATGATATTATTGTCGTGTAAACATTTTTGATACAACAGTAGCAGCAGCAGCAGCAGCAGAGAGGTCGTCATTTAGTGGAGTAGTAGTAGTAGCAGTAGTAGTGGTAGTAGTATTAGTAGTAGTGGTAGTAGTGGTGGTAGTAGTAATAGGAGTAGTAGTGGTAGAAGTAATAGTGGTAGTAGTAGTGGTAGTAGTAGTAGCAGTAGTAGTTATAGTAGTGGTAGTGGTAGTAGTAGTAGTGGTAGTGGTAGTGGTAGTGGTAGTAGTAATAGTAGCAGTAGCAGTAGTAGTGGTGGTGGTAGTAGTAGTAGTGGTAGTGGTAGTAGTAGTAGTAGTGGTAGTAGTAGTAGTAGTAGTAGTGGTAATAGTAATAGTGGTAGTAGTAGTGGTGGTGGTGGTAGTAGTAGTAGTGGTGGTGGTAGTAGTAATAGTAGCAGTAGTAGTGGTAGTGGTAGTGGTAGTGGTAGTAGTAGTAGTAGTAGTAGTAGTAGTAGTAGCTGGAGGAGGAGCAGGAGATGGAGGTTATCTTTATATAGCCTTCGTGGAATGTTTATTTTAACAAGGTGTAACCTCCTCAGCCCACGCATTACAGGACGTTTGCTCAGTTGTCTCAACAAAACATAGAGAATCAAATATTCATGATAATGTTCCAAATCTCCGTGAATAAATTCAGAAGTAGAACTCTTACCTCTTGTTTTGTTCATAGGTCGGTATATCGTGGATGTAGGAGGAGTGGATATTCACTGTTAGTGCGTGAGGCTCGAGATAAGCGTTATACGAGGACTCACAACTGCTGATGAGCACAGCTGTACGAACAACAATAAGTCACCAATATTGTTCATGAAGCATACAAGAAACATGCACACCAAACAACAATAATCGTTTCAAGGAAAAAATGTTTGGAGTCGTAGCCAATTCTTATACAGCAAAGGTCAGTCGTAAAGAATCCTGATTTGGAATTTATGAACCTTTACATATGTAGCACTCTGTGAATGTACAATGCTTAGTACAAGACATTATGATAAAATAAGTAAGGATAGGATATATGGAGGAACAACTGTAGTAAAGTGTGTGTAGTTTCTCCCACCGTTGTGAAGGAAGTGATAAACAAGGTATGGATGTCTTCTGTGAATGGCATTTCAAAGCTGGGAAGTACAATAAAGACAAACTTTAGGAACAACGACTTCTATATTTCGTGAGTGCGATGTTTTGATACAGGTTCTTGTACCGTTGTCAGGCAGGAACGATACCGATGCTTGTACTGTTGTCAAGCGTCGCACTCATGAAATTATGAAATTGTTATCAATAAAGCCTGTCTAAAGAGTATGAACCACAGGCATAAAGACAAGTTCGAGATAGTGCTTGTGCAGTGGCATAAATTTGGGATGTAAGTAAAGTGGAACTCTTCCTTATCTCTTTGCCATTCAAACACCTTATCTTTCGAATTGTATACATAATCGACGTCTCCGCTCAACAACACTCTCAGCATATCTATGCCAATGTACAAGCACGACCTCAAATATTGGTTATGCCTACCATTCATTCTCTGGACATCACTTGCTCAATAACGGTGTCAGAACGAAACGTCGCTCCAATTGTACTAAAGTGGCTCATTTACACATTATTTTATACTAATCTGGTATTCCTCAAAATGTCATTTAAGGACCATACTAACTAATAGTGTTATCAATGATGTTATTTATTCCTTCACGTATAGACTCTCAGAGTTTGTTTACCACTGTGCCACAGCTGTCTCACAACGACTAACTGTCGGACAAAGAAAAGTATACACTCGAAAGGTTTAAAGGCAGTTACAGTCCTTGAAACACTGCAATCTCAAACAGATTTTTCCGTATTATATCTATTGCAAATGCAACAACACAATCAAACATGAGTGCATGCCTTCTTTTGTTCTGAAACGTATGTACACATTATTTGACACATGGTAATTTCAATTTACACAAGCAAAGATAAGAAGATAGCGTATTGTCTTGATGCAGTTCTTGGCTTACGATTGGGTTCTGGTACTTCGGTAATACTAATGACAAAACCATGACCATCAGCGATGCTGGATCTGTTGAACCGGATGACGAGCGTGGAGTGATAGGACGAGAAGGAAGACGTTTCCGCACCACACCATGACAACGTACTGTTAACATCTGGAGATTTCAAACAATACGACATGCATAGTCATATGTAAACAATGAATTCAAATACAATTCAAATAGAGCGACGAAACCCTTTCTACATCCATAATAAATCTCTGCTAAAAGCAGAGTCGATTGTACAAATGTGACTTTATCATGAGTATTTGTTTCATGTATGATGCTTTCAAAGAAAAGAAAGGAAATTAAACGGATGTCATAAGAAAGAACGTGTAACTGTGTGTACGTAGGTGTGTGAAGCTTATTTCAAAATGCTGCCAGAAATAATGCAGCTATAGCGACATGTATCTAACCAAACCTCGATAAAGGAAATCAGTGGTTGATATAATAAACAACTTCATCATTGGTCGATTATCACAACCATTCAGCTATTTCAAAAAGCCTGACCACCTGATCCATTTCTGTAGACCTTCCCGAATTAACAAAACTTTTAAAAGAATGTAGAATTGATATAATTTGCGAAGAAAACAAACACATACCAACGTCAACACTAATCGTGTTGCTGGAGCAAGGCAACTGGAGCTTAGATTCTAACACACGAACACGGACATTGTACCCTGTTCTGCTTTGGATACTCCATCTACATGTGTCTCCATACATGCTGGAACTGATAATGATGCACAATTATGCACAAATACAGCATTGAGTATGGAATCTTAGAAGGGACAAGGAAGGGACCCTGCAACCCTCTTTGGTCATTCAAAAACATTTTGCTAATTTTTATAATGTCGCATACCACAATGTCCCTGCTAGGATTTCATAGCTAGGAGCATTACGTGTGTCTTTTTGCTCTATGCATTTGTGTGTTCTCATAAAGGCTGTCCAAAAAAAATGTGTTTTGGTGATACACATGTACTGCGACTTTCTGCAGCATGCGACATGTTATGAACCTCCTGATGTTAATCAGTGAATTGATATTAACATGTTTCATTATATTTAAGCAACTTAATATTGAATGTCTGCACACAAAGAGAGAGAGAAAGAGAGAGAGAGAGAGAGAGAGAGAGAGAGAGAGAGAGAGAGAGAGAGAGAGAGAGAGAGAGAGAGAGAGAGAGAGAGAGAGAGAGAGAGATATCGTTTCATACCGCAAGGTGTCAGTCGATCTCAAGACGGTTCCAGTGGGCGTTGCGTGGAATTCGTTGATGCAATGGTAAGCTGAAGTTGACAGATACAACAATAAAAGTAAAGTCATTCTTTCAAAGTAAACACAAATTAAATACGCAAAACTGTACCTTAAAGGCGCAATGTCACACTTTTTTGACACAATTTTGCACTATATTATATGTATTGGGGCATACGCACTCGCTCTAGCTTCCTACTTTGACCTTTTTTTAAATATTGTAATCTAAATACACAATTTTTAAAAATATACATCCGTGCATAAAAGCACCACCCAGAATTTTTACCAATTAATTTTGTCTGAAATGAAATTCTAAACTCTTTCCGAAAAATAACCTTTATAATTTGATAGCGCAAGCATTTAACATTTCAAAAAGGTCATCATTGAAATTACCATGTACTTTAATTAGGATAATTGCCTATATTTAAAACAGGTGTTTTTCTGTCCTAAAACAAGTTACCTTATTGTGAATGGATGAAAGTTTGTAAACTAAGTTACAGTCACACTATAAAACAGTACATTTTTAAAATGCAGTACAAGTTGATTTACACACACAAAAAATCATAGATTGTAGCTGCAATTATCAGTATCCGGCAAGGAGAAGTGTTTATTCAATACAATAAACTCAAAATCATACAAAATTTATTCCCAAAACTTATTAATGTGGCCTTTTTCGGTTTTTGTCAATTAGCAATCTGAATTGTTGGAAAAAGGTCTGAATCTTTGACAGTCGGGTTCTTCCTGATTATGCATAATTAAAGCTTATTTGATGTGTAAATGTCATGTTGCTATATAACAGAATTGTTATTTTTGGTCAAAACTTAATTTAATTGTGTAGTTTCAGTAGGAGAGGAATAGTTATTTTGGCTAAAATTTCAGTCCCATCACATTTTCATCAACATATTCTTTCATAAAGAATAGAAGAGGTTATGGTATTTGTAAAACTGTCAATGGATAAAGCTTCTTCAACTATAGGTTGATTAAGCTGATGGCTATACCCTAACTTTTCTGTAGCATCACAGCTTATTTTCAAAATAGGGTGGTGCTTAATTGATGCACGGGTGTATATATTATGTGGTAGCTTCCCTGAGAGCTAATAGTTAGTATTATTGAAAGAAATGCATTATTTATTATTTATAAGTGTTATGTTATATAGCGTCTTTAAACCTAAATTTATACTTCCATTTCTTTAGAGAGTTGTAAGAAATATCAAAACTCAAATGTATATTGAAGAAAAAAGATAGTTTATGTAATCAACTCTTACATTTACTTCTTGATCTGTAGGTTATCCGGACAAAGTGTGGCCATGTAATGAATGCAGTAACAACCGTCCCATGACTTTCATAGTCTCCGTCACCGCAGAGAAACACCTCTCTGTTATCATAGGCTGCAAACATCAAATTCTACCTTTGTCTTCACACAAAAACGGAACCCATGGATAATTATAAAGAAACAAGAATTTAAATAAACATTCAATAGAAGCACACAATCAATAATTTATGTCTTTTGACCTACTTTAAAAAAAATGGTATATAACTATTTATATGGCATCAAGCAGTCCCAAAATTAGTGATTTTGCGTGCAAACCGTTAGAGTTCCTCTTAGTTCATATCCTCATGAGTTATATATTAACCAATAAAGGTTATGTCGACAATATTAAAACAATTTGTACTACTAGCACCTGACACCGTGACCTCACAGACATCATGAGTACAAAACACTAAGAATAAAATGAACATTAATCATAACGATTCTTCTATGAATGGTTCAGCTGACGTCAGTGCATCAACAAACAGTATTTAGGTCACAGAGTGTAAGTCGAAAGCCAAAAGCACTCCAATGTTTTGGAGTCTATTATCTTATAGTGCAAAACAAACAACATAGGTATGTATCAAACCTAATACCTTCTTTGATACTTATGACAGAGTTATGGTTGGAACAGTTCCTCGTAGGCGTCAACCCGGTGTTGACGGTCAAGGTAAGGTGACCGTTCACATCACTAACCAAGAAACGCCACGCAGCTGACCTGAAATATGAAGACTTAGTGTATAAAGCACAAAGCAGAAGGTTCAACACATTTTACCTGAGGCAGAAGGTGTGTGTGTGTGTGTGTGTGTGTGTGTGTGTGTGTATCTGTCTGTCTATCTCGATCTATGCAAATGGATTCACTGATGTGTGCCAATTTGGTGAGCAATTCTGACCTGTTGATCTCTCTCCGCCCCGCCCCCTCTTTCTCTCTCTGTTGAAACATTAAATTACTCGGTGCTCCGTACTTCTATGCACAAAAGGAAAAGTAGAAATATTTCTCGCACAGAGGTGATCGGTCACACGGGCTACGTTAGTCTCGATTACATCTGTGGCTGTTCTAGTAATAGTTTGGGCCGGTGGGGTAGCCTAGTGGTTAAAGCGTCCGCTCGTCACGCCGAAGACCTGGGTTCGATTCCCCACATTGGTACAATGAGTGAATCCCATTTCTATAGCTCACATACTCACCAGTAATATTTACGAATGCGATACACTTGTATCTTAAAAGTGATGATCACTGTCTCCAAAACACGTGATTATATGAATAAAAATAGTTATAGTGACGATAGATTTAATCTCCCAATCGATACATGATGAGCATTTGCTTTATTGTATATTTGAAAATTTCCTTACCGTGGAAATTGTTTCATAATATTATATAACCTCTTTTAATAACACATATGTAATTCTCAGTGTATGCTGGATGCATCAGATACAGTATTTCAGTTTTGAATTTTGAATTTTGAATCTTTACAGAAACACGTTAAATGAAAGAATAAAACGAGTTCAGATATACAATACGGTCTTGTAAGCAGGTTTACAGGCACCTTAGGATATTCATACTATACATATAGGTGTGTGTGTGTGTGTGTGTGTGTGTGTGTGTGTGTGTGTTTGTGTGTGTGTGTGTGTGTGTGTGTTTGAGTGTGTATGTGTGTGTTGGGGGTGGTGGTGGGGAGGGGGGTTCGATTCCCCTCATGTGTACAAAGTGTGAATACCCCTTCTGGTGTCCCCCTGCGTGATATTGCTGGAATATTGCTAACAGCAGCGGCATAAAATAAAACTCGGTCACTCGTACTGTTTACAAGGTAAAATGCTCTGGAACTAAATCTTACCCCTCGTATGGTGGTTTAGCCTCAATAGTTCCCGGAACACTGCCAACGTAAATGGTCCTTGTGACATAACTGGAACATAATTCTGAAAGGAAGATACAAAAATTCAAAATTTGTCCATGGTATTATTCAGGACTCTCAGAAGCATAACCTTTCATCAAGCTGGTGAGGCTTGCACCACTTCAGGCCTTTCGTCTACATTAAGAAGAATGGCGTAACCGAAAACTGTTGCATAAAACAACTCTCATTCACTCGCTACACACACCACGATAACATTAATATAAGTCCATCCGGTCGCGGCTGTCGGCACACTTGGAATAGGGTAAATATAGAAGACCGTTAACTATTGTGGAAGAATACTGGTGCATATATGTAAGTCATATTGTGCTCCTGCATCATGAAAGATAGAGCAGCACCAGCAGATTGGCTATAACTATCACAGTAGTTAGAGTTAATTAATGTATTCAACGCAGTCAGCAAACGTTACTGTCATATCAAGGTAACCTGTAAAATATCGGCCAGGCAAATCAATAATTGAAAGGTTAGCTACAAACATTTGGGTACGATGGCAAGAAGATGGTACCCGACCATGGCAACCTCAGCATGTTTTTCATTATACGCCAGAGGTACAGAACTAGAATGTCCGCAGCGTTACATTATTTAGAAAATCAAATGTCAACCAAGAAATCCTAAACATACCTGAACCAAATTAAATCAAACAGACGCATTTTGTTTCTGACAATGTCATATATATTGTTTTCCAACAGGTGAAATTATAGATATACCTTTGTGCGCACAGATGAACAAGAGATGCAAGAGTAGTGATATCCTCATCTCTGTTGTCCTGATGCTTCCCTTGACCGCGAGTCACACGGTCACACGTTAGAAAAACCTTGTCCCTATAAAAGCCAGTATCTATTTCCCTGCATATTTGTTACAAACCAAGTTCCGACGAGGTCGTAAACACTGCTGCAGTGCTGGGGTTTATATTCAGCGTTACATGACGCATGCACCAGGGTCATATCTCAGGTCTATTAGACAATGTGAAGTCTGACAGCTAAAACGTGGGTAAACATACTGGTCACGATTATGTGCTCAAAGAAATTACCGCCGGGCAACCCAACCGCTATATCCAAAAGGTTGTAGGCCAAATGATAAGGGAACAGACATTTGATTTACAAGGGTAGCGGAGAGGGGAAGATAGGGGTAGCGAGCGGGTGGGGTGGCTAGGTACGTGAGTGAAATAGCAGTAGTACTCGTGCAATATCAAGAAGGCAGTTATGCCACAAGCGGTAGGCATCATTGAACAATGTACATTATCATGTATTGTATTTGTACTGACTCATAGAGCATGCACTAACCCACCCGAACCGACGTAGTGTTTAAAGGAAACGATACATGTAATGAAATATTTAGTTTCCTTATCGCTGTCGTGACTCGCGTCAGCATTTTGGAATTTCGACCACATTGATTCTAAATCTAGTACATGTACGTTCGATGAGATAAATGTCCCGTCTGGAGGGTGTGTGAATTCCATTCAGTGAATCAAGACACGATTTTTGACCCGCGATTGATTCCCAATCATTTCTTTTATTTACAAACTTCCGAATGCCGGTCTGGTTTATCAGACATTTGGTGACGTATGTGAAACGCGATTGATGTTGACCTCGTATTGACAATGTGAACTTTCATTATAAACGAATAGTATTAAGAGTTATATGGAAAATATTCATATTTTATTCTAGCTTTTTAGAGCACGTACAAAACATGTTATGATATAAAATATGTATTATGTGCTTCAAAAATTCAGTGTGTGTATTTGTACTTTGATAATAAAACTTGTTTTTCTGCATGTCGTTTACTTGTTGTTACCGTGCCTGGCGCCCGGCATCAAGGGGATGAAAAGTGTTGGCTCGCAGGCAGTATACTGTGTGTTACTTAATACAGAAGTATTAGTGGTATAACTACAATATTGTTATTTTTATCAATGTGAACTAATGCTCCCGCACAGGTGCATGTAATAATGTCAGACAGACAGAGACACACGGGTAGGTTCGGAGGGGGTATCCTACCGGTTAAGTCGTTCGCTCGTCGCGCTGAAGACCCGGGTTCGATTCCCCACATGGGCACAATGTGTGAAGACCATTTCTGGTGTCCCCCGTCGTGATAGTTGCTGGAATATTGAAAGTCGCGTAAAACTAAACTCACTCACTCACAAACGAGTGGAACAGTTGTCTTCAAAGCCACATTTCGCTATTGTACAAAGCTTACAATTGGTACTATTACTCTTTTATTTCAGAGGTACCCTGTATCTTCATCAATTTGAGGACCCTCTGTTGTTACCATGCAGCTACCGGAATACTACATAGACCGTGTGCCTGGATGCACATCAATTACACAGCGCGTACCAGAATCTCCATCAATTGCTAGTTCTATTGACAAAGTGGAAACGAGATACCAACGTCCTGCTGGATGCCTGACATAGATTATATACGCTTATCAGAATCCTGGTGTATGCCTGCACGAGCCATCTAGGCATTTTAACATGATAGATTTTCTTTATCCAATTTCCTTTTGTTTTAACAATTTAAATTCACTATTGACCCTGTTATTTTCCCGCGACAAACATCGACTTCGGTAGCCATGTTTCAAGGGGTGTTAACCATGCATTCTCGATAAAGTCTGTCAACTGCAGACCAAAGCGATTAATGTATACAAATTCACATCAAAAATGTATTTTATCTTCATACAAAAGAAACAAATATAAATTAAATTATTTTGAAAATACATGTAGGTGAATTCTTAATATATTTAAGTGCTTTTCAGTTATCACAATGCAATCTTTTGTTCCAAATATATGTTTACATCATTTTAAATCAGTCACATAAGATTCTCCAAATTAAACACAGCAGATATTTCATCAAATTAGATGTATTAGGATGTTTAAAGTATTTAATGTACAGTACAACCAGAAATTATTGAGAATTAAAAGATTGTAATTTATTTATTTTTTCACTCATAACTCACGTATTAAATGTGAATACTAGCAGAACATAACACCAGATTCAAAGACAGGTGAACAGTTAGTATTTTGTCAAGTCACCATGGGCAGCAATGCAGGCTTCAATGCGGCGGGGCATACTACTGATCAAAGAAGTTAGAAAGTCGTGGTCCATGCTGTCCCAATATCGGACCACCTCTGCTTTCATTTCAGCAATATTTGTCAGCTTTTTCTTATTGACACTTTCCTTCATAAGTCCCCAAACATTTTCTATTGGATTTAGGTCAGGGCTATAGCTTGGCCAATCTAATAATGTCATATTTTGGGTCCGAAACCAGGCCTGTGAATGCTTTGAACGATGTTTTGGGTCGTTGTCCTGCTGGAAAATCCAAACATTTCCATTGAACACGTGAGCGGATGGAAGTAAATGTCCCTTGAGAATATCTGTGTACCGCTCACTGTTCATATTCCCTTCAAATACACAGAGGGGCGTTGCCCCTAACACAGATATGCCACCCCACACTGTACTTTGGGCGCTGATACAAAGGTTTTTCAGTTTGTTTGGTCCAGAATTTCAGTGTATTCGGAAACAGCCACACAGAACTTTCATCTGAGAAAATCACATTGTTCAAGTTATAAATTCTATGCTGTAAGCACCAGTTCAACCCTCGCTCCTTTTGTTCAGGTTTCATGATCGGTGATGGAATTCCTCGACTTTTCTGCCAACCCATTGCATGCAGCTCAGTTCTAACTGTCTCCTTACAGACAAACACAGTTCCTCTATCAATCATATCAAGCTTTAAGTTTTCTAAACTCCTTCGTTTGTTTTTAGAAACAAGAATACCAAGCCGCCTCCTGTCACCGACAGTCAATTTTCTGGGCCTCCCTGCACCTCCCTGGTGCTCAATGCCATATCCATTTGCAATATCTTCCAAAACACGATAAACAGTGGACAAAACGATGCCTGTTCTACTTGAAGCTTAGCTGATCTGATGTCCTTGTTATAATACTCTTAAATCAGCTTACTCTTCTCTAAATCATCAATACTGAGGATCACTGAAAATGTCGTCTGCTAGCAAGTAAACAAAGGGGGATAACTCTTTGCAAACTAATGGAAAAGTATTAACGGAGTTGCCTCTCTTGAATGAAACCAAGCACTTGATAGCTGGTCAAGGTTGTTTATACTAGAAATCCAATTAAACGTATTCCTAAAATCCTCAATAATTTCTGGTCATGCTATACATGTTGGCTTCTGCAAACAGACATGAATGTAATCAGAGAACTATTAATAAACGAAACATGCTTGATTACAGTTGTTTTACAGGTCTTATTGGACTTCCTTGTTTTGAAACAGTCTCTCTGTGAAAGACCAATGAAAAGCAACAGCTTTTGACGTGTTTTACTGTTTATTACGAAAGTAGGCATAAGTGCTGTCGCAAGAATAGCAAACACACGAAACCAGCTGTGAGTAATGGTGGATACTGATACTCGGGTCAGAGGTCACATCGTGTTGTATCAGATAACAATGTTCAATCGCCAGTGTATCACTTTGTTATCACTGTAGACCACGTATCACTTATTAAAGAGTCAACATCGCCGACAGAATGGCTTCAATGTGTGTGTATGTCTCTACGTTCCTCTCCTGTCTGTTCCTCACACTGAGTGGATGCGTAGCTACAGTCGGTAAGCTTGTAGAACTAAACCACTGGTGACACCTCGATACATCATCTATGACGATGGTAGATCCCAGCCCATTACGATAAATACAAGTACCACCCACGATTCTCTGACAAATTATACCAGCGTCCTCAATACCTTGTCTTATAACAGGTTCAGTTTACATGATCATCTACACTCAGACCCCGTTAAACCGGACAGTATCGTCACGGGTTCAACATTGCGGATGAATGTTTGTGTAACTTGCTTTCAAGAAGTTTTAGGGAGGACATGAGGAGGACATTTCGAACTTTGATGCATCAGTGACAAAAATGATATCTGATGCAATTAAATATTTTGCTCGTACCACACGTTCCTGATTTTTTTCAGGTGAACAATTGACACGACTTTGCATGTGTTTATCACGGGTGCCACCGGTGGTGCAGGATACGCTCATCTTTCCGCGAACACCTGGTATCATCACTATTTCATAGTGATTCATAAACACATGCTCTGTCATCGTATTGCATGGTGTCAATCACTAGATTGCCTGGTCCAGACTCGATTTATTCACAAACAAACACCATGCAGCTGTAATTCTTCTGAAACAAATATATGCTCATGATATAGTCACAATTGTACAATTGTGCTTTTAGCATTCTTATGAATGTGGTAAGGGTTTTGTCGCTTTGACACCCTACAGTATTCCAGTAGTATGACGACAGACTGTAAAAAGGTCGGGGTGGAAAATAAATCCAAGGATTGGTATTGAGTATTGAGAGTAACAATCCACATCGATGGAGGTCGTTGAAAAGCTACAACGTGTACATAAATGCACCCAGACAAACCACTCGATTGATTAAGTCGGATGTTAAAAGCAGTACAGCATTGTAAGGAACCAATTCTAACAAGGAATCCCTATGGATTCCTAATTTAGTCATTGTCACTGTCTTCAAAATGTGCTCTTATATTCACAGCTGGATCGTGTTCAAATTACACCTGTGGGGGTATCCTCAATGCTTCAAACTCGCCCCAGGAATTAACATCACCTGGTTATCCTGTTGGTTATCCAAAGTAAGTATTGTAACATATGTTATATTTGGGATTTACACTTTCTTATTTATAACATATGTACATAATATAACATATGTTACATTTGACCATTTTCTAAATGGCATGGTGTAATCAAAGTATTATATTCTCACGAACACAAGTTCGTCACTTTTCATAAAGTTTATGAAATAGGTTGTCCAGCACACATCTCTCTTACTGTTCATCATAAATAAGCTGGCTTCAATAACTTGTGGCATGTGAAAACATCAAAACCAGAAAGAGTGTGTTAACATCATGGCACACCGTACTGAACATCAGTGTTGAGGCTGTCTGTCCGGATTCCGTCTAACCCATTGCATTAGCATGCACAACTTACAGTAGAGAAGTGAAGTCGTGTCAAATTCTGTATCGATGATAAACATCTTTCTGGTGTGAAGGTGGCGATATTTTGGTGTAGATCCTAAATCAGTTACGTCAGGCGTCACCGCTTTCCTGGGAAAGCTGTTTGGTTGCTCATTCCATGTGACCATTGTCAATTAACAGTCTCCCCTGTCTCCTTATTGTAACTAATAATGTAACACTCTGGATGCAAACAACACACATATATACGTGTATTGCTGGGGTGTGTACAACATGTCATCTGCTTTGTTCCAGTAACTGCAGCTGTACTTGGAGTATCAGAGAACCTGCACAGAATGACATGATACGGATTGTGGTTCTGGATTCTACACTTGAGAATGAGATGGAATGCAAATACGACTCTGTCAAAGTATATGATGGTGAGCACATAATTTATTTCTGCGATAACTCAGTATTCTATAGAATGTAAATGCAGTTATACTGGTAGTTAAGTAGATGGAAATGTACCCAATATGCTTTCTTGTGTTTTAATAATTCAATCTAAAAAATGTACATTCAGTCAAGCCATTTAGACACACACAAGTTATTCCGATATTTGACTGTATAAAAGTTTCAAACTCAAAGGAAAGTTTTATTTGTAACTTTGATTGTGGATGTGTGTGATTGATCAATTTGTTGTTCTAATTTCAATAACTTAGTACAAGTAAGCTTAGAAGTGGCAGCCCTTATTTTCTGCCGAATGTTTGCTGATATTAACCCCACATGCTGTATTTGGGTATAGGGGATGTGTGGCTTGTTCTTGCAGGGTAAAACACCAGCAGTAGACACATAAACACATGGTGCGGGACGATGACACCAACCATTCCGAGCAAGTCCAGAGGCATGACTCTTCACTTTACTACCAACTCAAATAGAACATATAAAGGATTCAGACTACAGTATTTCGCCACCACAGGTACATGAAGGTGATAATACTTCTAAAAGTATAACGAATGTTTATTCCTTTCAATCCCAGATGAATGGTCGCTTGAACACACCAAGTGGACATAACTCTATCAATGGATTATATCTTAACTATGTCCAGCAACCTGCGACATCTTAGACGTCCAGGATACCATTCGCCCCGGATGGAAGTTGGGACGTACAATATTGAATAAGCTTTATGGATAACAAATTCTTATATTTTGTGAGTGCGACGTTTCGATACAAATTCTTGTGCCGTTGTCATTCCTGCCATGTCAAAGATGAAGATTATGTTCTACATAAAACTGTCTCTGTCTAATATCATGAACGTAACTCTGTAGTAACAGTAAGTAAACTATGCATAATTAAGAAACAAAAGACATATAAGGACAGAAATGGTATTTACTTCATCCTGAAACATAAGCAGGCTTGGCTTGCGTCGTTACAATAACCAATAATGTCTTTTGGACAACTTAATACAGTTGTAATCGAGCCTTTTTCATCACTTTTTCATATCAATACTAAAAAAGAATCATTTGGGATCTACGATCAAATGATCAATTTCAGAGCAATACCACTGTGGAGCAAATCTAACAGCCAAAGTGTCACCTCAGTTTCTGACCACGCCTGGGTACCCTGATATGTATCAAAAGTAAGAGAATACATAACTCTAGAGGATATACACGTTTGTTTTGTTTGCTTTAAACATATTTTATTCATGAGAAAAGGATGTGGTACAAGTTATACAACTTAGAACACCCTCTCTACAGAATTTACATATTATTTACATTCAATATACTAGTTGGTCAGACAAGAACATAAAGATGGGAAACAATTGAACAATTGCAATAATAACAAAAATCATTTTGATTGAAAAATATATGTTTGAAAAATTTTAAATTATGTTTTGATTTATGCGAACAGCCAGATCTGCATAGCCATGTAATAGTAACTCAAATACATGTTTATAGTGGATTGCCTACTGTTCGTGAATCATGGCCATTTCATAGAGATAAATATATACAAGCCTGTGATACAAACAGAATTGAACGATATTCTCAGTCTGCTCTTAGAAGAGATTTCTTCTGATAATGAAACTGGTTTTGTTTCTTTTTATTTGCAAATTTTCATTTATGTACTAGTTTGATCTGATGTGATGTGTTCCGCTTTGTCCTGTTCAAAACGTTAACATACGCCTATTTATTTGTGTGTCTCGTTTACAGTGAAGCCCGGTGTCGTTGGATTATAGAAGCACCAGGCGAGAATACAGTTCAGATGCGGGTTATTGATTCCAACATTGAAAACCAACTGTTCTGTAGATACGACTGGGCAAGAGTGTTGGATGGTAATGTGTTTTGTTAGCCCGTTAATATTAATGTGTTGTATATTCAACATTTTTCATATTTCCGACATAATTCAGAAATAGTATACTTACTACTTCGTCGGTGATACCTGTGTATATATATAAGGAATGCAAACATGCAGTTAGGAATCATGATTATTTTGGCGATATTTAAGAGGTCTTCACTACAAACTACTTCTTGTTCACTATATATTAATCCATATTCTGAGTGAGTGAGTAAGTTTAGTTTTACGCCACACTCAGCAATATTCCAGCTATACGGTCTGTAAATAATCGAGTCTGGACCAGACAATCTAGTGATCAACAGCATGAGCATCGATCTACGCAATTGGGATACGATGACATGTGTCAAACAAGTCAGCGAGCTTGACCACCCGATCCCGTTAGTCGCCTCTAACAGCATGGGCTACTGAAGATCAATTCTAACCCGGATCTTCACGGGTCCATATTCTGAAATGTGATGGAGTATGGAATAGTATAAGGGACATTGTCGCACTTTGGTTAATTTTGACACGTTTTGCTTGTTTTTGTAAGGGCGGCAACGCGATAATGCCCCTTCTTCGATTTCATAGATGATTGATTATTTGCAGGCAATTCTCTCACGTCACCCAAACTTGGAGCCTTCTGTGGCTTCATGACGCCTTCCTACAACAGCACTGGGAAATACCTTCTCATTGAGTTCCATTCGGATTCGGCAAGGACATTCAAAGGCTTCAAGATACAGTATAAAACAGAGGATGACAAAAGCAGTGGACACAGGCTTACACACAACTTGGGTGTGTTAGCTATAATAATCTCATATCTATCACTCCAGGCACACCTGTAAAGGAAGGTATGATATTACCAAGCCACGCCTGGTGTATGAGTAGATGTACTCGAGACACGTTTTTGCAACATAGGCTCCTCAACAATAATTTCTTTAAAAAATAGGAAGATAACGTTGTACTTCTATCTTTATTGTAAAGACGTTGAGTTGGCAATTACTTATAGTATGCCAGTGTACACGCCCGATTACTCCTGAAATAAGTGAGTGAACGAGTGAGTGAATCAGATCAACGCCGCCTTTAATAACATGTAAATTTCAGCATGCCTCTTCATGAGGGTGGTGGAAGTGTTGACCTTTGTATAAGTGAAACCAGCGAGCGCGGGTTAGGATGTGACAATGTAAACCTAGAAACATGATAGCACGAAATAGGGATTCGAACAGAAGGCCACTACCATCGTTTCAAAAACGACAGGGCCACCCCTACAACTGAACCGAATAAAGATGACAGGTATAAGACTACAGAATACCGGATACCTCCCGCCATCTTTGAAAGCACGCGATGTTTACTTAGAGTTAGGGTAAGGTTTAGGGTTAGGGTTAGGGTTAGAGTTAGGTAGGGTAAGGTTTAGGGGTAGGGTTACCGTTAGGGTCAGGGCGACGTGACACTAAACAACATGGCTGGTAGGTATCCGGTATTCTGTAGTACCATGACAGGTTATATATTTCAACTTTTACTGGCAAATATATAATAAATATATTAACTAAAATAACACCGACATCTGTTGTTTCCGAAGACTGTACGTCATGATGTCAATGCCGTAATACATTTGGAAGGTGGCAGTGTCCCTCAGAAACCACTGTACATAGATCTGGTTTCTGAAACAGTACCGATGACTTTCGAATAATGAAATATCATTCGAGGTGGGAAGGGATCGGGGGAGGCAGAGGTGGTAGACCTCAAGGAGAGAAACAGGTATATTGCAATATATTATATATTAGCATATATTAGCCATACCCGATATGCATGTAATAAAGAAAAGAGATTATAACACAAAATCGTACTTGATCTATTTGTCAATTGTGGATATTGGTCTTTAGCAACCCATGCTTGTCGTGAGAGGCGACTAACGGGATCGGCTGGTCAGACTCGCTGACTTGATTGACAAATGTCATCGTATCCCAATTGCGTAGATCGATGCTCGTGATGTTGACCACTGTATTGTCTGGTCCAGACTAGATTATTTACATACCTCCGCCATATAACAGGAATATTGCTGAGTGCAGCATTAAACCATAAACAGATCAATTACGGATAAGGCATGCTGACCTGAACTCATGATAACAGCCTAACAACGGTGGATCTGTCTGTAGTCTAGTTTCGACATCGACGACCTAAAAATCTACCATGTACTGCTCACTACAAACATGAAGTTCACGCCACGACATACGGCTTAACGTCAAACAGGTTCATCTCTGTACACCGATAACACCACGAGAAGACAATGCACCCGTGACAGGAACTGAACGAGAAATTCAATTTGATACTGATTCATAACCATATCTATGTTTATGATAAAGTCGAAATCGTACAATAAACGCTGTTTTTAACAGACATGTATCATTATTATGTTAAGGGTTGTGTAAAGTTTATGTCTTAAAACGGATTTCCGTAATGGTAAGTCGGTTGTATCGAAATGACAGACGAGGTTATATATTATTTAGTCAAAAGAACTGTATAACATAATGGATACCATATTATTTCTTTGAGAGGCATTTAGAAGTTGGAGCAGTAAGGAAGGATAACAATATATGGATGAACAACTTCTTTATTGCTGTGAGAGCGACGTTTCGGTGTAGGATCATCACTTGCTTGATAACGGTGTTAGAACCTACACCGAAACGTCGCTCTCACAGCAATAAAGACGTTGTTCATCTGTTCAACCATATATTGTTATCATTCCCTGAATACCATATTATTTACAAGGGTTTCTAGATTATTTTTATATGAATTAACAGACCTTCAAAATTTAGTTTGCTACTCTCATGCTTTTCCACGGCTACAAATGTTATTTATATGCAATATAAAAAAAGAAAGGATAAAATAGAAACGGAACATTGAAGGTATCTGACGGAGTGTTTTGTTGATATTGACACAAAATGAATATTAATTGATTTTCTCATGTCCATATACATAGGGAGTGATTTGTGCTTAAACTGACGATAGCTGCACTGTATGTACTTGCGAAGGCAGGACCGGTATATTTCTAATGATTTTGTTTGTTTTACGATGCAGTTACCAAAAAAAAACAGACCCCGTTTCACAAAGCTATCGCAGCTACGACTGTCGTACCTCCTCTACTGGGCCTAGATTTTCGAAGCTTTCTTAGCGCTAAGATAGTCGTAAGATAATGTTAATGTATGGCACTTACGACTATCCTAGCGCTAAGAGAGCTTCGAAAATCTAGGCTTTCGAAGCTTTCTTGGCTCTAAGATAGTCGTAAGTTAATGTTAATGTATGACACTTACGACTATCTTAGCGCTAAGAGAGCTTCGAAAATCTAGGCCCTGTAACATAGACTTACGACGTCATCACGAGTATGACTGACATCACGAGTATTGATGTTTCATGATATGAATAGCATTACAAACAATCAACAATGTCACATAGTCTGAGATCAAGCCTATCAGCAGCCACTTACGACAAGCACAAATTGATGGGGACCGATATGCTTACCAGGACAATCAAGGGACATGTCGATCTCGTGGCAAAACTCACTGTGAACCTACACATAAGAAAGAAAAAAAAAAGGTTGTCAGGTTTGATGATAAGGTTGATTTCGCGTTCCCAAATCTCCTCGAAGTCCAATGCTGCTCATATTATCAACCACTGATTTGTCTGTCTAAGATTCGTACATTTCACAGGCCTGTGTCACAATGAGCCTTGAAACCAGCCGCTAGGAATTGAATCTGTGTGCGGTTAGTTAACTAAGAGATTATCGAGGTTTTATTCTTTGGAGAAGCACATTTCTAGCATAAATTTGTCAGTTACAGGTTTGAAATCACAATAACCACCCCTTGGCTGAAACATCTGATTACACCACAATCACGCACAGTGATAAATACGCTGCCTTTTCAGTTCTTAATTCAATTTATTTCCCTAACTCTGCGTTCATCAACGAACTTAGGTTCTGTAGTCCATACTTGGCATTCATGGGGACTGGTGGTACCTTCAAACATATCACACAGAGCAAACAATGAGGTAGAGCTGTAAAGAGTAAATGACGATGACCAATGACAACCACACAGGGTAGCCTCAGAAAAAAAGTTTTCTTAAAAGTGAGATATTAGTTATTTGAGTATATACAAAAACACTACATGCCAGCATATGGTAGGAAAAAGAAAACTAACACTGTCCTTCCGCTCTTACAAATCCTCTGTAGTGAAGTGATATCGTGTTTCTGTTGGTACATGTTATCACTAACTGTCGATGGGTCCAATGCTTATATTCATACCGTTTGTAGCTCTAAGATTTGCTGATTCGACGTTCGATATAAAGAATAGGGGTTGAAGAAAATCAGTCGCAGTCAAATGTTCAAAGCATGGACCTACGTACTTTCTACACCGGATCTGTACTACTAGTCCTGTTTTCAGTCACAGGTGGGTGTTTGACACTGCTAGGATCGATATGATTTTTATTAAATGAACTACATTATTATCGAAATATGACTGAAATGACTCCATGATATGCTAAAAAAGTATGTTGGTCAGTTACACTGTGTCAAAGGTGAATATAAACATGGATAGTATATTTACCATATCGTAACCATATTCACTATTCACCCCAGTAAAAAATAATTGTAGCAGTATCATATTCCAGCAATGTCCATCTCTACGCTAAATTTGATTTGTGATTATGTTTTTATATTGTCAATAATTAAATATGTAACAACACTGACAGTGTGTCCTATTTCTCAACAGACTCGTGCAATGTGACTTTAATCGCAACAACTGCACCATCATATATCACATCTCCAAACTATCCGAAGAACTATCCGAGGTACAAGCTTTTTTTTCACTTAGTTGGTGCTACTTTACTACTTGACAGTTCTTTGGAAATTGACCAACCTGTATAGTCCACAGTGAGAATGATGTCTTCTCTGTTTAAGCCGTATTCAACAATGTTCTAAGAGTCCAAGTGGCAACAATTGTTGCCACAGTCTCCGGGTCTTCATGTACAAAGCTATCTTAGTGCTAAGGCGTATCTTACACTCTTCAACATGGATTTACGATATTCCTAGCGCAACGATCGCACCCACGGCAATCAGTTCAAAAGTGAGTGACCTATTATGCCCAATTCTCGAGTACACAACATATTTGACCTTTTCAGAAATTGTATATATTTAATACCTGACATTATAGCTTTGTTTTGAATACGATTAGACCTGACATGTTCGGTCACCAAACTTCTTGAGCGAGTTCTGATCTGTGCTTGGCTACAGAAAAGAAAGATGATGACGTCAATTATCGTCGCTACTATGACAACTGGCCGGGTATTTATCATACTAGACACTATTTTGTGCATATACTGTTTATTCAGTAATGGAACATAGTTCCTATCCAGTATTCCTGTTTTACGATAAACGGAGTAGTTGTCTTGTTCAAGTACCAGCAAGACTCCGCGGTTGGAGACACAAGTCATCACAAGGAAACATATATGGTCCAGTTTGATCATATGTTGATATGTCCCAATATAACATGTGTTGAATGGTCCTAGCTGAGATGGTGTTTATTACTTCATTTTGTGACAGAAATACCGATTGCTGGTGGAGGATCGATGCCGGCAGTAAGGACAAGACTGTTATGGTGACAGTCGTGGACAATTTTATCGAGTATTCCACCAACTGTACAGATGACAATCTTTCCTTTTATGACGGTAAGTGAAATCTGGTCACCGGTTGTTCTATTTCCAACAAAATGTGTGCATGGGTTTGTGCATACCTGAGTGCGTGAGTGCGTGAGTGCGTGTGTTGGGGTACATATCTAAGGATGAGTATTCGTTTGCACTATCGGTTAGGTCGATGTTCTCCTGGTAAACTGAAGTTCCGGAGAGTCATCAAAAGCTCAGTAGCACACTTTTGTATGCTCAGTCAACAACAAACGAATATTTTGGTCGGGACATTAGAATTGACCCACAACGTGATTTAAAACAAATGTATTCTTTGAATGTTTTTCTTAATACTTCTTTAATCTGAATCTCTGTTCTTCATCATAGCAGTCGAAATCGAAATCTGACAGGACCTTACTTCCATCAATCACTTGCTTGTCTGGTGCGTTTCCAGGCCGCTGTCGCATAGCATGAGTACTTCTGTGCGGTCTCAGGCAACAAAACTTCCATATTAAGCATTTGTTTAGAATGGTGGGTTCTACCGGTAGGAAAGGTTTACCCTTTTCGCGAATACCCGGTGTCGTCACTCATTTTCAGTGATCCATTCATTGAATTTTCACATTGAACTTTTCCCTTTACACCAAACAGAGTTAACGTTGTTTCTGAGGGTAGTCAAGACTGGGTATTCTTTCGCACTGAGGTTCCATAATTATTTCCATACACAAAGAAGGAATTACAGTTCACATCGAATTTCATCAAACATCAGTGCGATATCCCATCCGATATGAAAATGCTAAATTTATAAAAATAAATAGTCAAATATCAAATGATTGCACGTAAGAGGTTACAGTATGACGTCACCTCCCTACTTCTTATAAGGAACACATGTGATAAATATGCTGTGCGTATTTTATCATTACTTAAATTATTAATGCATCAGCTCCTCTTCTCCGGAAAATCTGTTCCGTCACTAAACC